GTGGGACACATGTGTCCCACCAGTAGTCAAAGGGTTAATGCACGCTCTCACTCATCCATTTTTTCCAAGGCCTGCTTTGATGTCAAAGTCCGGGATTAAACTGATGTCTTACGGCACTTGCAGGTGACAGTGAAGATGAGATGTCTTACGGCATTTGCAGGTGACAGTGAAGATGAGAACTCCAGCGCAAATATGATAAAGCGGCAATAAATTGGTGACAGGGGTGAAAACGAAAGCCCTCTTTTCAGTAGCGGTGAAGCGAAATAGCGCTGGTTCGTGATAGGTTCAATGATGTAGGGCGAGGCCAGTACTGCATCCTACGGCCTTAGCGTCTTCGCCTGGTAAGTCGTGGCACAATGGGTACGTGCTCCACCCTTGCTCCACTCCATATCTTTCGCGCATGAGTCACATTTTGTCCAGAAATCCAGAACTTTGCCTTGGATTACAGAACCTTTGCGACATTTGTTCTACGTTCTTACTCTTGACCTGGGCTTTTAATTCCGTTTTTTTTCATTGTTGAAGCAAGCAGCTTCACATTTTTGAGTATGTAAGAATTTGGGACAGCTATGATGAGCTGTGCTTTCAAGCCACCGTAGGCTCATGACTTAGCTTGGTAATTCGACTATTCCGAGGCTGCGTCCATGTAGCCCCTCACCACTACCAAATGAATCTAAGAAACTGATGGGCTTTCGTAGCACGCCGAAATTCCAGCAGATCTCGGGAAAATGAGAAGTGCTAGTCTCACGCTTCAGATTTGGTGATTTCCACTTCGACAGCTTGGCCTTTTACGTGAGCGAATAACATATCCGAGTATTCCAAAGTGCCTGCGAAGAGCTTATCCATGTCTATCTGAAACTGAGAAATTCGAGGCCAGGCATGTTGGTTGCGGTTCCGGAACCCACCTTGAAAGTGTTTATTGTGCAGAAGATAATGTCATCGGGGGAGATGTTGAAGCAGTCGGCGATTGACTAAAATCAAAGCTCTCCAACCATTGACTGGGCGCACCGAAAAAATTGTTACCTGGAAAAGTTCGTCCACGGATGTGAAGTTGGAGATGATGGCAGTAGGCGAGCCGTGCGCGAGTTGGCAGCAGAATTTCAAATTACGTGTTGCTACAGCTGAATTATTCCAAGGTTCATTTTTTTTTGATTCAGTATTATGGTATTATCTCTACTGGGTGTTAACAATGACTTCATAAGGCCAAACAATGGTGAAGAGCCTCATCTAGACGCCACCCTTTTTCTCAGATTAGCGCGCATGGCCGCGGCTTCTGTATGCGTACCACACTGGACACGGAAAGGCCAGCTGCAGCTTCTACGACACAACCGTAGGTGATGAGCTCCATTTTAAGACATTGCAGCCATGTTCACCAAATCAGTACTGTTCACATGGCTGCATGAATGATTACGAGGTTTATTCTTAATTTGAAGAGCCAACGAAATGTTACGTTTGGGTTCGACAAGTAGCTGAACGTCGAGTTTAGAGTCGTACACTGAAGAGCGTCTATTAAGCGTAGAAAGCGCCGTGATCAAGAATGCTGCACCACGATTTCTACGCACATGTCATGTCTAAATTTCACCCCAAGCCTCCCCCTCTTTGGTCCATAGAACAATCACTTGGAAAGGAAATACTTGAACGTCATCTGCTCTAAGCGATTATTGTGAAGACGTTCTGCTCATGGAACGGTTTAGCGATTCATATGGAAGCGGCTCACACAACCAAGAAGACCACATTTTTTCTACGACCCAAGGTGTCGAACACCCCCATACTTTTAATTTCAGCAGCAACTTCTCTGCTGTCCCACTATTTACAAAACGATCAAATGATTTGGATGAACCTACCTATCGGGCTGCATTCTGTAGCGTTGCCGACGTTCGACAGAGGGTCCACTTTGCATTGCACGGATGGGACGGGTTTGGAAGAAGTAACGGACTTTCGGCTCTGGGAGCTAGTGATTGTTGTACAAGGTCTGTGGGCAGCTTCAGCCACTGGATTATGATGAACTAGAGGTAAGGACTTGAGAGGATTCTGGGGTTGGGGAGGTTTGGCGGAGACGTCCTTCGGACAGCATTCCATTTCTTTCAGTTTTGCAACAACTTCAGATGTCTGAAAAATTTAATGCGGATAATACTGCGTTCTGAATCAAAAGCACGTGATCTATGTTCTGATATTTCATATTTTTTTTTCGATTTCAGGCAACCTCGATGTAAGTTCACGGACAGTCCGCGTTTTGTTAGAATAGGAGATTTGTCCGGATGGAATGAAAGATCAGTGAGGAAGTTCCATAACACGCGATCTCAAACTCGAGAAACTAGGGCTATGCCACTGGATCGACAAGGTATCGGCATTTCCTCACTCCGTTGTGCCCGACGAACGCCAAAGGGAAACTTCACTGTCCTTTTTGTCGATCTACCGAGGATCTTCCCTTTAGTAGCTGTTATCTTATTATTTTACTTCTGTGGTTGCCTGCCATAATAAAAGACTATTCCAGTAAATATGTCAAAAAACTGATCTGTTCACATTGTGGAAGCTGGACTAACGGCTCTTAGAGCTGAAAGGTGATTCAATCATTTAACGCCTGTACCCGTGTAACGCCTCTGTATGCTATTCAGCGTAGGAGGAAAAAATTGACAAGACCTGTACAAAATTTTACATGGATAGGTTATAGCGATCATAGGAGAATTGAGAGACTTTACAACTACCATGGGGAGACGTTAATTTGCTAACGAGTGTGTGTGGTATGTTGAATACAAACGTGTTTCAGCTCAAGCAGAAGGTGGCGGACCTGAAGACTGGAGAGGATCCGCCATACACAGACCAGTGTATTGGACTCGAGCTCAGGAAGCGTTTTTCCTAGGAAAACTATTGTGTACGAGGCGGAGAAAATTATAAGTTTGTCCCAGGACCCGCAAACTAGGTACATTTGCTCGCTCTTCAAGCATCGTAGGAGTCAGCATTCCCGTCCCTAGAGAGGAGACCTTATGGTGGAAATCCACATTCAAACAGTTGCTTGACACGAGAGATTATGGCCGATGTCATAGTTTGCGAATCGAGCGATCCGCTGGATCCGAGCGTTGCGCCAGCGAATCGAACGTTGCACCAGCGAATCGAACTTTGCGCCAGCGAGTCGAACGATGTACCAGCGAGTCGAACTAGGTACCAGCGACTCAATAGTGGCGGGACCCAACGTTCAAAGGAAGCCGCCACTTTCAAACAGTGTCACGTGACAGTGGACGCTGTTTGAAAGTGGCGGGCTTCCTTTGAACGTTGGGTCCCGCCACTATTGAGTCGCTGGTACCTAGTTCGACTCGCTGGTGCAAAGTTCGATTCGCTGGTGCAACGCTCGGATCCAGCGATTCGCTAGCGAATCCGAGCGATTCGCTAGCGAATCGCTAGTTCGCAAACTATGACATCGGTCTACAACAAAGTCTGTGTGCAGTGGAAGAACATGCACCAGTTTCGTGACTAAAGGTGCGCTCGTTGCAGCGCCCTGGGGCTGCCAATCCTTTCTGAGCTCCACCGCCTGTGCTCCGCCCCTCAGCAGATCGCTGTTCGATTATCATTTTGATAAGGTATGCCACTTCGAGCGCGTATCCTATAACTTTCTCATGGAATGCGTTATCAATCAAAGCATGGCCTTTGCTGGTATGATGGTGGCTATCGGTTTAACATGTGCAAAAGACCTCTTAGTTGGTTGCTAGCTCGTCCATTATCGGAGGTCAACGGGCAAAGAAAGGTCCCATTTTGCGCGTTCTTGACGGATTTCTTTGCTTTTTTCGCCACTGGGGCATTATTCAGCATCTTCCACTTCCACTATGAACCCAGTCCAATCCTATCGTAATCCCTCGCTTTAATGGCATTTTTGCAAGCGGCTGCATGCCCTGACCCCGGCGTGCTTCTAGACGAGAAACTTCAAGGAGGTTGTGATGAGTTCCCTTAGTTAGCACGCCACCACCAAATATGAAGCACCAAGGATTCGAAGCAGTCTATGAAAAACTCCGTAGCTACTCGCGCAGGAATTCCCAGCGGCTAGAATGCGAACTTTGGAGGAATTCTTCTCGGGAAAATTATTTTTTTCTCACCCATAAGTCATTGCTATGAGACCCACCTTTCGCGATAGGAACAAAAAGAATGAAAAAATCGCGTTTGTATTGGTAAACGGTTTGAGAACAGATGAGCACGCTGCTAATTCTCTTACTGCCACGTGATGTCATCACCGGAACTTCCAAGTGAGTTCGAACTCACTTCGACCATTCTGACGGGGAATCTTCGGAGGGGTTCCAGAGGTGCTCTACGCATCTTTTAGGGAGACTTCGGATGGAAGCCATCACCAAGTTACCACGAGCTCATGGTCACATGTTAACTAGCAGCTGAGGACAGATTACTACCGTTCTTGGTCGGAGCAACTTCACATCTTGAGTGCTTCACCAACGTAGACCCAATATTGTCGAAACTGTGTGCGGCTATCCAATACATAAGAACGTTAAAGGGTTGCAAATTTTCTTACGGATGATGTCATTATATAGAAAGCTCTGTCTGAAGTTCTCGAAATGCCAGTTCAAGTTAAGCCACCTAATGCAAGGTGGCGTTGTGGCGACGAACACGACGAATCATTCCAAAGGCTTAAAATATGATTTCATCGTGTACAGTCTGCAGGGACACGCTCCTGGCTGCCGGAGGAAGTGGATACGTTTAATGTCCTGCTGAGAAGCGTAAGAAAGGGTACCCAAATCCTCACCAGGACAAAACACTCCCAACTGACTCGCAAGGGTGGGGGCCCCCCCGCCCCCCCCCCCCCCCCCCCCCCCCCCCCCCCCCCCCCGCTCCCCCCCTCACTGCATGGCGCATACAAGAACGGAATGGATCTGCGCCAAGTGCATCATTTTCAATTTACTCCATCGAACTGACGTGTACAGAAGTATTTTGAAGGTGTTCAAAGAAGTTCCCTACTACGGCGAGGGAGTAATAGAGTTTTCGAGTGGCTTCGAAAATTTCCTTGACATTTCCTCGACGCAGATTTCTCGCGAACTAGAAAGCGTTCGAAACAACTGGAGCACCTATCAAAAGCGTAAATCTTCTACTTTACAACGCTTTCCTCCGATTTTCAAAGCATTGCCAATGAAGACAGCTACTGTCTTCCAAAGAGTGGGAACTCGCATGTGAATTTCAATTTCCTCGACAATTTCTCGACGTCTCCCACTCTCGAGAATAGGCGTGCTTAGAAAACGCTCAGCACAATTTAGAAACTAGAAGTCTTGTGCATTCAAAAGCTGCCTTCACTTTCTGAAATGGTTATCAATGAAGAAAGTTATAGTCCTTTAAATAGGGGGTACATTTGACGATTTTTCCAACTAGCGCGCTCTAGGCACAGCGCGCGACGCGATCGCGGGTAGTTAGCGCCGCTATACTGGAGCGCGAGACTGTTCAACTGTGTAGGGGCAGTACCTCCTTCAATGTTCTACTTTCCGGCCAATGTGGCAAAGGTTAAATGTCTTTAAAGGAAAGAAGGAGAACCTAATCTGAGCAGAATTGAATCTAGCATTTGGATCAAGCCGCATTTGCGTGGCAGCGGCGCTGCGTCCCTCTCGCACATCTGAAACTAGCATTTTTTGATATGAAACCGGATGTGCAGAGGACAAAAAGGGGTCGTATCAGAGTTCATGTTTTGGAGGGGGGTCGTAAAGAGGCGGTTATTTCCTCGACACGATTTTCACCCTGTTCACTGACCTGAGTCAGTGATAGTTGGAGGTGCCAGGTCTGAGCTATATGGCGCGAGAGGGAGAGCGTCCCAGCCCAACTCCTCGATTTCTTGTTGCAAAATTTTCGCGACATGTGATCTTGCATTATCGTGCCAAAATTTTCAATGACCGAATTTGCCCTTTGACTACGTAGAGCCCGACCCTCGCCTGCGGGATGTTGTGCGCAGAGTTTAGCTGTAACTATATGACGCACAATCAGCTCTCCATAGTAAGCCATTCTTATACTGCTTCACCATACTGTAGCAAGACTTTTTCTCTGTGGCTGTCCGGTTTCGGAGAGGCCCTCAGCTGCCCATCTGTTGCCAACCACGGCCATCTTCTCACTTTGTTATCGGGGAACATCCTTCTGTAAAACACGCCTTCAACGAAGTCAGGAACCTTCTTCTTCTTGGAGTTATGCAGCAGAGTTCAAGTATTGGCAACCAATACTGCTTGCTCGTGTCGCTCAGAATAGGCCGAACCCATTTTCTTTCCTGGAAGGCCCTAACAGTCGCACGTAGGAACTTTCAAATTTTTCTGTTGACACAACTGAATCTCCATGCAAGTTTTGTGCGGTATGTCGAGGACTCAATTCGTTGGCTTTCTT